CGTAGATCTTTAGTATTACACCTTCACTTAGCCCATCTACGAGCAAAGAAAATAAGATCACTTATTCGACAGACTTATTGGTGTCCTAACATTAATGCTGATAGAAGTTGAAAATTGAGAAAAAACTGTACTGCTTGTTTTGTATAAATTATCATACTGCAGGACTACTTGGAATCCTTCACCTGAATCTTATGAATAGTGAGAACGTATTCATGAGAATTACTGTGACTCACTTTTTTATATTCGTATCATACTTTAGTTATTATTAACTTAAATTCGAAATGGTCAGAAGCGGTAGTGATGAACAGTCCTAGCGGAAACTTTACTCATTGAGCAATGAGGAACATATTTAATCATGAAGGGATATTCATTTCACTGAAAAAGATTTTATCAGCTAGCTTGGCAGTATTAGATGGCGTCATCTATTTACAGCTTCATGAAGTCCTTAGTCTGGTAGTTTAGCAGAAAATTTCATTCGAACATTAATAAGTCCATGCAATCTATCCGAGATATAAAACTACATTGACAGTTTCTCGCTTCATTATCTTAATGCAGAACATTCAAGAATTCCCAAAAGTCCAGCTAATCTTTATAGATCTCTCATACTTTAAACTCATTTAATGAACAAAACATCATCAGAAGTGCAGTTTTACCGAAGAAATAACTACCAACCATCTATGGGGATAATAATTCAGAGAATGGATATTCGGATAGTAAAGATTCTTGATTTGTATAACCATTTAGTTCACAGAAACAGATAGACCAAATGAAGATTAATGAAGTAAGTGATTTCTATTTGAATTCTGATGATTCTCTAACTAATCTTAATTCTATAGAAATTCTGAACTTCAGATAGATGAAGAAATTGAAAATCAGAATGCTGAACAGCTGAGATTCAACAGAATTGCAAATCAATCAAGATTACATGAAAGATATATAGACAGACAATCAATGTGTAGCGTGTGTAGTGAATAACTGATACGTTTACTGCACAATGAAATATTATATCAGAAAGGTTTTTCTGGATATTATAGTTAATTCCAATGGTTGAGATCATGAGCCAATTAAAACTAGACCACCATGGATCATGGATGAGTACCGCTGAGGCGACCCACACCAGGACGAAACGGCCGTCCAGTGCTTCCACGTTTTCCATGGCGGTCTAGCTTCAATTGACTTGTAGCGGTAAATGAATCCCCAAAATAAATAGCTCTGTAAGTTTTCGACATTGGATGCTGATCACATTAGTTTTAATAGACTAACCTAGTTGAAAGCACTCGGTCATGCATCCGCACAAGGTCACGAGTGGGGACGCCGTGCTCAACATCCCTGCAATTGCTAGCCTGATTAGATCAGACGATCCTCGATTTATTGATAGCCTATCGAATATATCTTCGAACCTCCTGGCTTCTGTCTTTTGATTTCACTTGGTGGTTACGATTCATATAAGGAAGTGTTACTGGTCAAAGCGTTGTCAAACTCCAAACACCTGTGGCATCTTCAGACTCATGATCTCAACCATTGAAATTAATGTTGTATGTTATGTTCAAATTTGTTATTAAATAACAAAGATTAGTTCAGCGAAGAATTCTCTTTTCGACGAATTTATTTTCAAAGGTGTACAATCGCAAATTTATATACTTCTAAATTCACTTGGCATAGTTTGAATCTTCCGATTAATGTTTAGGTATGTAATTGATCAGTCTCTCATTGGCATATATATATAGCCTTAACTTACAAGGATTATACGCAAAGATGGATAGTGGCCAGCTGTGGAATCCAGGATGCACGAGTCCCTGAGTGAACATCAACGAGTCTGAGATGCAGGTACACCCAGCTGACGAGTCACGAATAGGACGAAACGCGCGCCAAACTGGATTCCACTGCTAGCCATAATATATATACTTATGGTTTTTTCTCAGGGTTATAATAATAATGATAAGAAACTTCTGTTATACATGGTGACAATGAGGTTAAATAAACATAGGTATTAAAAAGATAGGGAAATTATCCTTGGGAAAGGATGGCTTAGCATGATAAGATAAAATGTAATGAGGAAGATTGTAGAAACAGAAATAAACCAGTTGAGGGTAGAAGATTCAAGGGGAAGATGGAAGGTGAAGCAGATGGCTGTAAAGGAGGAAGAGTATAAAGGAAGTTTTAATAAAGAAAAATTCTAAGACATTGAGACCATGGTAGAACAAGAGGTTGTACCAATTTCTTTTGCACACACAATTCCGGTATTTCCAGATGTATGGTTATTGGTTCGGCAATGCAATGAAGATGCAATCTAATTGTCTTTGGAAGAACTCTACTTACGTTGTAGATGACTTGGAACGCAGAGTCTAACTTGATTGAGTGACCTGTGTTCACAAGGTGTTCGATTACTAGACTTCTTATTGAACAGTTTCTTCCTCTTCTTAGCCACGCTGGATAATGTTCTTGAATTCTTTTGGATAAATTACGCATCGAACGATTCATATACTTGACTCCACATGGGCAGGTAAATTGATAAATGCACATTGAGTTGGTCAGATGCGATAATTTATCTTTAAGATTATTAGTGAACAATGATCGGCTGGAGAATACTGTTCGCAACGCTGCTGCGAAGAATGTTCATTTTAACGAATAAGAAATTCGCCTGTTTAAGATGTATGTGGCCCTGTCACCCATAAATGTCGATGTTCATGTATAATGTTTTCTTTTCTGCTGAAATTATTTGTGTTTTAGGCGGTTTTGGTTTTATGTTTTATAAATGAATACGGAAAGATATCCGTTTCTGATAAGTATCTCCTTCAAGAGGTCCAGTTCTTCATCTATCACCTCGGGACTACAAATTTTTCATATTTTTGTAGCTAGTGATATTATTAAGTTTCTTTTACGACTAATGGGGACCCAGTTGTGGAAGCTTGATAGTTGACCATTCCACATGGGTTTCCTGTAGATAGATTCTCTTAGAGTTCCATCTTGTTTTCTTGTCACTTTCATATCAAGAAAGTGAATATTTTGTTTGTTTTCAAATTCAAGTATGGATTTCTTTGCTGGGTGACAATTATTAAATGTCTTTAGAAGATGACACAAGTCATATTTGTTGTCACAAATGATAAAGATGTCATCTACGTACCTTTTGTACAAATGGAAGTTTCCTATAATCGTTTCAAGTTGATTGTTTTCTAAACTGACCATGAAACAATGGACCAAGAGAGAATCCCATTGCTATGCCATCCTTCTGTCTATGAATTACGTCGTTGAATGTAAATTGTACATTGCAAGTGCAATGTAGTAGTAGTTCCTTTAAATACGTTTTCGGTATTCTGATGTTAGTCTCATTATTATTTATGTACTTGCAGATAAAACTAATGATCTCTATGAGTGAGACATTAGTGAGTAATGATTCGACATTCAGAGATAGCATGATTTTGTCACTTACATTCACTTCTTTTATGTGCTCGATAAATTCAAAATAATCATGTAACGAATATCGACAAATGAGTTTCCTAACGGGTTCTAGGAAATTTGCCAGCCACTTTTCTATAAAAAGATAAAGGGATCTGGACATATCAAGAATTGGTCTGAGAGATAGATCAGGTTTGTGTACTTTCAGCAGATCATATCATCGAGGTATTATTGATCCTGTTGGTTTTATACACTCAAAGACATGCTCGTCGATTGACTGATCATTTTTCATTCTCTTAAGAACTTCAATCAGTTACTTTTCTATGATTTCAGTCTTGTTTTTCTCATTGATTGGTTTTGAGAATTTGGTGTCCTCTGATAATAACATTGTCCGTTTTTCAACATAAATCTTGCGATCTAGCAGCCCTAAACCCGCACCTTTATCTGAACGTCTTATGATTAAGTCTTTATTGTTTCTAAGTAGTTTTAATTGATTTCTATGTTGTTCCGTGAGAAAACTTTTACCTACTACTTTTGTGCTAATATACTGATTACAGTTATTGAGAACAGTAGATTCAAAACGTTAGAACTCTTGGTCAGAGACTGGACTAAGACTATTTGTTTGTTTCATAACACAATACAGTTTCATACAGAGCACTTCAAATCCGAAATATATCAGTAAGAATGAGTACAGAGAAGATAATGAGATCACCACCGCATGGGCCTGTCTATTGCATACAGTTAACTGATTCGCGTTGGTTGTCGTTGACTTTGACACAGATCGATGATCTGTTCGACATTCAGTCACCCAACTGCTAGATGATTTGGCTCACTAACATTTCACTGGCCCTACATAGTGATGAGATTTCAGTGAACGCGGCCATTTATGTTCATGGTTATTTTGAATAATTATTAAAACTGAAGTGCTATGTGAAACAAAGAAAGTATTAATTTGAAGATATACTGCAGACGAGTTTCAATTAGTGTGCACCCTCAGTTATAACAGGACTGAAACTATATTCTTACAACGTTACTTATATTCACTAGTGAATCATTGAACAGCAGCCAAATTAGATCATATCGCTGATTAAACTTTCTCCATTAAAGTGTTATTTATACGCAAAAGTTTAACAGAAGGTACAATAAATACTCTATCACATTATCCATATTCATTTACTTCGTACTAAAAATTTTAAATAAATTCCTATAAATATCATAAAAACAAGAACCAATAATCACAAGCTTTTTAAGCAAAGATGGATAGTAGCAAGCAGTGGAATCCAGGACACACGTTTCGTTCTATTTGGGACTCGTCGGCTGGATATTCATTCTAGGACTCGAACCCAGTAGCGCTCGGTTCAAACTCCAGTAGCTAAGTGGATAACGAGATGTACATCCGGCTGACGAGTCACAAACAGGACGAAGTTTCGTGCGTCCTGGATTCCACTACTAGCCGCAATCCATCTTTGTGTTATAATACTTGTGCCTTAAGGTAATATTGAGGTCGTCCGTACAGGATGCACATATGCCAACATGAAACTGATCAATTGCAGTTCTAAACATCAATGGGAAGAAGATACAAGTAAAACAACACCAAGAACAAATAATGAGGATAATTTTATTAAACAATTTACAGGAAAAGAAATCAATAATAGTTGTTTTTTGGTTTTTATTCATCTATTACATCATCACCATCATCGTCGTCGTCGTCATCATCATCATCACCATCGTCGTCATCAACTATCTAGTTTGTAATCAATTTCACTATAATAAATTTCATCTTCATAATCAAGACAAAAATAAGATGGAATGAGTTCGAATTGTTCTAATCCATTAATGATATCATCTATCAATGATGGAATAGTTTCAATTTGATGTAATGCATTTACATTTGGTTTATGTTTCATCATATTGTATTGTTTACTATGCATGACACCATTCAACTGAAATTCAATAGAGATCATAAATAATGAGTATAGAGTGTACATGTTAAATTGAGTGAAACTGAAATGAGAATGAAAAAGTACTTATTCAATCAAATGGACAAGTATATTGAGAGAGTGGAGAAGATTTGTAGCTCAGATAGATGATTTTGATGCAGTTTTATTCTTTGAACTGAATGGTTTGGTCATGAAACTTTCATTGTTCTTCTGAACGACATCATCAACACAAACTTCAGGTAGAAGTTTGGTACCATAGTTTATCTTGTTTTCTGTTGTGTTTCTTCACTTATTCCCGCATTTTTTAGTGATAACTCTAGTGGGTGGTTCTGAGATCTTGATAAGTTTCTTCTTTGTTCTTTGTGTCGTTTCCATGGTACCTTGATGGCTGTTGTCAATATTTCCAAATGTTCTGACGTGATTATCCTTTGTAGCTTGCTCTTTTGGTCCTCTATGATATGTTGGTATTAGTGGATCCTGTAATGTGCATCAGTTATCATTAGCTGTACCATTTTTCTTCCACTTTGCTCAGCTATTCTCCATCCCATTGGGCAGTTGATTAGAGGTCTGTATCTCACACTTAATGGCAGAACATGCTGGCAAAGACACTCGTGGAGAAAATACAGTTGTTTTCGAGTGGAAGACTGCCTTTTAACGAAATTCTCCTATTTTCGAACAACGAGAAGCGTACTACACTCAAATGATTTTGAGATGGTAGAGAAGATTTGTAGCGCAGGTAGATGATTTTCATGGAGTTTTATTTTCTGAGCTGGATGGTTTGATCGTGGAGCTTTTATTGTTCATTTGAAGTTTGTGCTGATGATGTCGTTCAGAAGAAGGATGTAAGCTCCACGACTAAACCATTCAGTACAAGTATATTTCTAAAATGACTTCTGTCCGTCCAAATATTTATATACTTATATAGCAGTTACAAATCTCGATAATCCAATAAGAAGACGAAGTTTATCACAATTATGTGTGATATATCTGCACAATACATTTCGAACAATCTGATCACACATAATATACTGGGTAAGAGAATTTATACATGAAAAATAAAAGGTCAACTAGACAGACTAAAGGTAAACCGTAACAAAGTAAAATAAGATAATAAAGTACATCACTCTGGATAATAAATCAGTATTACCAGGGTAGGTTAATGGTAAGGACAAATTGTTCTTGAACAACATAAAGGTGGTTTCAATTTCCGTATAACCAAGGCTTCAATAAACCTTAATATTGGTCCTTGAAAGCTTTTGTATAACACTACAAATGCTGATTTCATGTCAACCTTATGATCAGTGTCAATCCAGTTTTTCACAATGAACGATGATGTCTGTCTATCCTGTAATCTAAATTGATCATTGCAATTTATTTGTACGTTTACCCTGTCTAGTTGACCTTTTATGTTTCATAGAAAAATGTCTTAACTAGTAATAACATGTATGATCCGATTGTTCGAAATGTATTGAGCTAATATATCATCACATAGTTCTGATAAACTTGGTCTTCTCATTCCATTATCAAAATTTATCAAATGGACTGATTGTTTTAAATCAACAAATCTGTTCTTCATGAAATTTAATAAACATCTAGTAAATTGAACAAGAAACTCCGCCTGGAGTCCCTCTGTGGGCTACTGCCGGTCCCGAGACCGGATAAAGGAGGAGGGTTGGGCATGGGGTTAGCGACCCTATCCCGTGGAAAACCAACTCGCTACAGAAAACGCTAACCAGAAAAAATTACTCAAAAAATTAAATTGAACAAGCTGCATGTTTAGAATTAATTATCTCGACGAAATAACATAGTCTGACCCCTAACTGGATGTAATGAGCCTTTGTGTTTAGATGGTGCACTTATGAATACAACACAAGATATCCGATTATAACACTAAATAAACTTAAATTGGTCAATTTGTGAATTTTAGATCTCATGTCTACCAACACTGTTTATCATGATCCACTCTGACATTCTAATTTAGGTTTGCTACGAATATTGGTTTACTTATATAAACGCATAAACATTGGTGCAAGAAGGAACCAACACCAGCAGGATTGCCACTGGCTTGTATTTTGAGCCACGTCTGATAACCTCCCAAACTACTGCGTTGCACTATCATTAGGATGTCAATCATGGAATCATGAAGAGCCAGCAAATTCCAGTTCTGTTCATACTGCGTCACGATCTCATGCACTAAACACCTCTCTACTTTCTTCAATTAGTCCCGCGTCTCAAAATAATGCACGATTTCAAAATGACTGGGACGACATTCAAAGGATATGCCCAAGTCACCATATTTGGTGTTCCAATCGAATTTTTGTCGCTGCACCCGAACACCTGTTGCCGGACTTTTGCATTACAGTCATGGTACTGCCACTGAATGTAAGAAGTCCGTCGGAAACAACAATGATTAAACACAGAGTCGTTTAACATCTTCAGCTCAGAGAGGAGAGGTTTCACATACATGGAGCAAACACTACACATCTCCGACGCATCATGAATCTTAACTTTCACATTTATACTAACATCACGAAGGCATCAAAGATGGCCCAGATTGGCATAAGCCGTAAGACATTGTTTCTCACACCGATTTCTTCTCATTTCGATGGAGTTTTCTTATCTAACAGCACATAATCGGCTGTTAATGTGGATCTAGTCGATTAGTGCTGCCTCAACTTTGGCTCGTAGTGCGACACCAACGCCAGCAGAATTAGACGACCCCCAAATGCGCTGGTACTTCATTAAGTTATAATCCATGTGTGGTGAGTATGGAATTCGCTGCATACATGTGCGGAGATAGAATGGTGAGTTAAATCGGAAAAAACATATACGTTGTGGTAATGTAGAGACGAATAGGATATGCAGATGAAGTTTATAGGAAGATTTTCATAATATGGAAGCTTCAAAAGAACTATCCTCTTTCTAGAACATTGTCTTCAGTTAATTAAGTCAATGTCACATAAAAAACATAATCAGAAATATGATAATATGACACTGTAAACAAAATCTTACCATTGAATTATTATTAGCATTAATCTCAAATTGTTGGTTACACTCTCGTTGAGCATCATGTTTATTGATTTCTTTGGTTGATATCATTGTAAACACCTCGAAAAGAAGAAAAGATAAACAAAATGATACATATCACAACATTAAATTGATTTGAATAGAGAGAAGAACTGTAAAACAGAACGGATCTGTTATCGATCACCGCTGCTAAGCGTTTTAGAATGATCTGTATTGCTTCTATTCAGAATTGGATTGAATGAGTCTCTCTGATAGATGCCGTGATATTGTAGCCCTCTATATATCAACAATGTGTTAATAAAAATCTTCTACAAATTACATCAGACCCATTGGACAAACTGATGGATGTATGAATTCAGTAATTTAAAGAATAACACGTCAATATTTGAAATGATTGAGAATGATGCATATAATTCCACCGAAGCAACGTATCCCGAACTCCCAATTCTGGGGGAAGCCGCTATAGTAAACTTTGGAGAAATGGCACCAAACCCTTAAATTTTCTCAGACCTGAGGAAATTCCCCAATATCGCCCCAAACGAGAGAGATTGGGATTGTTTATACACTGTGAATATCTACTTTTTTTGTCCTAAAAGTATAGTTCCCATGTTAAAAAGGATGATCAACGACTTCAGAATGTTTACCTACTTACTGGGGGTAAATGAGAGTTATGAACATGTGTGAGGAATAAGGATCATGATTTCTAGTTGATGGTTAGGGTTAAGAATTAGATGTATGTGGGTGAGGGGGTCACGGACGAACTAACATTAGCTAACCTAACCCTAACGTTCATTGTCCAAATAGATGAATGAATTTCACTCTAAAATTCAAGACCAATTATCCTAAATGTGATCGGTTTGTTCATAAATCATAGTTTAGCTTCAAAAAGATTACTCAGTAACTGCACACTGATTCACTCAACACTATTTATGATTATCGCCATATTTCTAAAGTTAATAAACTGAATGTAATGAGTTCCAACGGAAAATCTTTTACTACTTTTATTAATGTGACAGGGTTTCATTTGAGAGAGCAACTAATATCTCTACAAGACATCACATAAGAAGTAGGATATATCACTAGTAAACTATAAACTTAATGTATATCTAATGTGCCCCGTTGATGAACATAAATCTGACATTTAACTATGAGGGTTACCTAGGCTAACCCTGTTCATGTGATGGCGGTGGGTTACATTAGAGGAGTTTATTTCAAGTACTTGTTAGTCTAGACAGACATTCAGAATAAGAAGTGGGAAAGTGAAGTGGAGAGGAGTAGGTGTGTGACACAACTCGATTTGATTAAGTATTTTACAATACTCATAGTCAGACAAAAATAAACTACAGACACATAGTCAATAGAGTAAGCAATTAACACACATACGCTCATATAAAAATAGTCAAGGAATTAAATGTCTAGTGTGCTGAACAACGAAATATTCCTCAGACTTACAGAATTACAAATCACCAGGGCAACTCAACCAAATTAAATCCCTTTCCTAGTGCCAATTAACAACACCAACTGTGTTTAATCGAATTCACTAAATAACCACCAATCAGCATGTTGCACTGCTAAAAGCTCACTTTCAAACAGTTAGTCAGCTGACAATATGCATCATTCTGATTGGCTTCATGGAGAGAAGGTCATTCGAGTGATTTGTGCTGAAATACATTAATTATAGAAGGTGGTAATTGGATAGTTACTCGGAGGTGGTGGATAAGCAGTCTAAACTGTAGCATATGAATGAGCCAAATAATTTCAAAAAAATCACCGGATAGTTTCAAAGCCATTTATTGACTGATCAACACAATTCCTGAAATCTGATGAAGTTTATTGGTTTTGAGAAAGTTTATTAAGTTTCTAAGACTGATTATCGGTTTACTTATCTCTACACAAAACTTCATTTATTATCTGAGTGTTAATAATATTCACAACAGAGAGTTCGTTTCTAGATCATTGTCATATCCATAAAGTATTTTAACAGTAAAATCATCACCGGCTACAATATCTTAACCAGTAAGTTTACTGAAGTGTTCAAGATATGAAGCTGTAAGGCAAAATCATTATCCCCATATCCATATGAAAAGTGATGAGTGTAAATCTTTATATGTATATTTAACATTTACGAACTCACCTATTTCTGTGGAGTTTTGTTCTCTGAGCTGTATCGTTTGGTCCGCGACCAAACCATCCAACCAACATCATCCACCTGAGCTACAAATTATCTCCATCATCTCGAGCTCACTTATTATTCACTGAACCACTAAAGATGAAGTTCATCGAAGGAATCTCTTATCAATGAATTCAATATCAACCTGTACAATGAAAGTGTTGATTCCGTAAGGAAATGTCACACAAGGAATAATCAAGATGATGTAATAGAATAGATTATGTAATACGAATTATAACACTAACTAATAGACTTAATGAGTTAGTAACGAATTATCACATGTGAATGTATGAAGATGATTAAAATGGTTTTGTTCCATTAACTAGTGGATATGAAAGGTCATAATGATGATATCATGAGCAATTATACATAATGAAAATATAAGACATAACTACGTCTTATCGTTATTATTACTTTGACCTTTATTATAATTATGATTATTGTATTTGTTGTTTTACTTAATGTCTCATATTCTCATTATTTACATCATTATGACCTTTAAATAGTGTAACACAGACATTTTAGATTGAGATCGTGAACTGGTTGATATTAGATCACCATTGAAAACCTGGTAGCAATGGATGGTTGTTTCATCCTATTAAGGGAGTCCTCAGCAGCGCGCAGCTACGGTCATGCCTCCCGAGATTTGAACCCAAGACCTATCAGTCTCTCGCGCGAACTCTTAACCTCCAAACCACTGAGCCGGTATCCAATGGTGTTAATGCTTAACTTCAACCGATCCACAAAATTGAGCCACCGTCCATTTTACTCATCGTCCTACATTCACGTTATAATTCGTTACTAACTCATTAAGTCTACTGATATTATTCGTATTACGTAACCTAGTATTATAATCTTTCTCTCACATCATCTTCGTTATCCCTTGTTCACATGTCTTGATGGAACTATTACTTTCATATGTATACGATTGTACAGGTTGATCATAAATTCGTTGATAAAAGATCTCTTCGTTGAAATTCGTGTTTTTAAAAGTATAATATACTGATGACCTTAGGGGGATTATCAGTCAATTGGGAAACGCTGTGTAGTCACAAATTAGGTAACAATAAAAAGCGATGAAATGACAGTGGAAATAAAGAGTTTAGTTGAATAATTAGCTCCAACATGCCAAATTATGCTTTTTAGTAAAGGAGAAATATCAAGTTTGCACATTAGAAGTCGGTATAGTACACTGAATTAGACATTCCGTCCCCAAATTACATCGGTAATAATGTAAAATCGCTAGGACTAGACAGTTTGAGCAAAGCGAGAGATTCGAGTTGGAATTTTCATCACAAAACGACATTAGTTATAATCCAACGCTTCACCACATTACTGTGTGCAAACTTAAGAAACTGAGGGTTGATTTTCAAAAGAAGAGTTATAAAGAGGGAATATCATATAGATTCACTAAACTCTGTTGACCACGTATTGAGTCACATCAAACACTTTAACACACAATCTGCTTGTAGCTCTCCTAGGGTTACTAGCAGTCTCAAGCACAGGTAAAGGAAATGGTTGGAGCATGGGGTCAGCAAACACATCCCGTTGAAAACAACATTGCTAAATACGCTAACCAGAATAAACAAATTAAGCCACTTAAACTCTGTCCTCGGAGTTGAACGATCTTCATTCAGACAATTATGACGTCTCATGGTGAAATTCAAGATTTTTCGAAAGTCACCAGACCAATGTTGCTTCTAGCAACCAGAGCAACAACTGTTATAGGTTTATTGGAATGTCCGGAAAATGTGGGAGAACGGGGAAACGAACCAAATAGCTACAAAATTGAACAGATACAACTTGATAACACTCCGAATTAGCAAAACACGTTGAACTCAAGCTGTATAGAAATGGACAGATTGAGAAGAGATGAAGCTGTACTCTGGTTACGAAGAACAGAATGCTGCTATGGTGCTGTCTAAAGTAACACGAAGATGCACTTATCGACATCTCATCATCAAGCATCCTTCAAAACAAAGAAGAAGGATATCATAATGAATGTTATCCAATGTGTTGCAACCAACAATGATAGCAATGACGACAATAAAGATCTGTTTTATGAGAGGCTGCAATCGACCACAGTAAAGAGCCCAGCAAATGATCTGACCATCTCAATAGGAGACATAAACACTAAATTCGGAATGGACAACAGCGGATATGAAGATATCATGGGACGACATGGACAAGCAGAAGGAAACGAAAATGGGGAGAGATTTGAGAACATATGTGCATTCAACAAATTAGTTATAGGCGGTACAATATTCACCCACAAGTGCACACACACAGACATTCCCATAGATGTCACTCCACCAACGACCGAACAAACTAAGATGGTCATCAGGCACATGAGCAGTGAGGAAGCAGTAAGATCTGACAATAGACTAACTGAAGCATTGAAGTCACTTATAGAAGCAAATGCTAACATGATCCATACTCTATTCAGGAAGAATCCGGATGGAGTACAAGTGCACAGACAGAATAGAAAGAAGAACATCTCATCGAGATACCGAAAAAAAACATAATCTGTGCGAATGTGTGAACTATAGAGGAATCAACAGTGTTACTGAACAGGATGAAGGACTCAACAGACAACCAACTTCGAGATTAACTGTTTGAACTCCGTAAGGATCAGTTGTGCACAGACAAAAGGCGATACTACGGATCTTCGTTGAGTAATAAATTGGATGGAATTCGTCACTATGCATCAATTTCCTCGAACGTGAGAAAGCATTTGACAGTATGGAAAGAAGAAACTCATGGAACAATGTTCGAGATCATGAACTTCCCGAGAAAGCCGTCAACATCGTACAACATTCTTACCACAGATTACACTGTGACGTCATGCATAAAGGGCAACTGACATGTGCATAACAAGTAAAGAGTGGTGTCAGACAAGCCTACTTAATATCTAAAAAACCCTCAACCAACAATCAAGTAACAATTTTCAACACAAACATCAAAACAGTTCTATTGTATGGATGTGAAATCGCACAACTACCACATCCATCATCAGAAAGATACAGGTATTTATAGACATCTGTCTACACAACATATTCCAGATCCGTTCACCGGATACCATCACCAATAACCTAATGTGGGAGAGAACAAACTCGATTTCCACCTACCTGAAGAAGAAATCGGGAAAAGACACTGGAGGTGAATAGGACATATATTGAGGAAATCATCAAACTGCATCACGAGTCAAGCACTAACTTGGAATCCTGAAGGAAAACGGAAAAGAGAAAGACTAAAAAATACACTACGCTGAGGAGTGGAAAGACATCAGAAGGATGAATAGCGACTGGACACAATTGAAGAGGATTCTCCAAAACAGAGTTTTATGGAGAATGCTGATGGACGACCGATTCTCCTCCACGAGGGCTAGCAGGCCTAATTCAGTAAGTCATTTAAGTTAAGTGCATTCTTAATTCACTTATGTACTACGCAAAAAATAAGCACTTAACAATTTTAACACTGATTTTTCAATACAACCGAAATTCTCGCTTAGATATCATGAAGCAAAAGAATAGAACTATGAAATAACGTTCTTTTCATTGCCTTAATCACTTGGATAGTTTAACTTAGAAATCCAATAACGGTATTTCAATCTCATATACATCACTGAATTACAAATGAATCAACAATTCTAATAACAAGTCTTTTCATTATATTGATTTTCAAATGAGATGTATTGAAATCGTTACCCATATAACATCACTCCTATTTGGTCAACTCAACTTTTATTCAATGAATCACTGACAATGTGATTTCTTTACAAATTTGTTACCAACAAAGTCATTTGGTTAAAGTAACCTATTGCTTATTGTGTTATAGAAAACTTACATTTAAAACTATATGAACATTCGATATTGTCGTCTACAAACAAACCGAAATTCAAACAAAGTACATTAAGAAATGAATAAATAAATATTTGCTTTCATCACAACTCTGAATAGTAATTTCAATGGTTAAGATCATGAGTCAATTGAAGCTAGACCATCATGCAAAACCTGGAAGCACCGGATAGCTGTCTCGTCCTACTGTGGAACTCCTCAGCTGTACGCATCCACGACCCTGCCTCGAGAAATCCGTACACCAGAACATGTTCGTCTCGCATGCGAGCGCTTAACCACTAGACCATATCTACACATGTTTATGTATAGCCATGATGGGAAAGCAATTGAAAAGAAATGATTCTTCACTCCATTCGTCATCTTCTCACGATAAGTCTTATTATAGAAAAGATTAATCTTCTAATAATTTTAAACATTCACAACATCATCATACAACGATATTCCTGATGATGAAAGTCATTCATTATGGAATTTCGTGTAGAAAC